ATGGATACGCTAAACTAATATTCATTATGGCTGCTGATCACGTTCACTGTGTGATGATGATGCTGACTGAGCATGGTGTCAGCTGTGGGCACGGTGTAATATAGAGAAGTCTTTGTAAATTAATTATGTATATGGATAAATTATCATAATGAAATGGAGGAGAGTCGGGCGTCCCATCTGCTGGACCTAATGCAAATCAGTTCACCGGTGGCAACAAGTTTAGAACTGCAGTTGAATTAAAGGTCGCTGCTAATTTGCTGATCAAATGAAATAATCTCGAGTCAAGAATTGATGGGGGTCTGGAGTAAACAGGGTGGATGAACAATTCCAAGAATACCAAAATTAGCGGGATGGATAGAAAATTTCCCAAATACTTTTGTTCGAAAAAGTAGAGAAAACGTGTTTATGACATAACAGTACATTAAAAATATTCGGGTTTTGACAACATTTTCAATCTTTCTTCTTGTTCTCGATGCACTTCTTTGCACTACGATGAGCTTCGCTGAGTACTTCTTGCTGTTACGTAATACACGAGGCTCATAAATAATACAAGATGTGTTGGGCACCAGATCGTACGAACCATTGTAGGCAATAATTTAAACATTTGGCAAACACTTTATTTCCGCTGTTAATTATCTATGTTTCTTTTGGTTGTAGGTCTTACGTGTTTTTAGCTGATTGGTTGTTTTTAATACTTGTAAAATGCTTGTATCTTTAAATACGCTGTAGTAGTTTTAAGAGGGAGGCTTTTTGGGAGAAGCATCTTGATGTTGGTTCAAAGTGCTGACTAAAGAAGTCGTTGTCTCTCTGCTCCTTTCTGCCACAAGTCGAGTTGAAAAGGGCCGTGAGTTATTTTATATATACTTGGTTGCACTGTATTAAAAGTGTAGTATAACAAATGTCATTGGAGAATTTATTAGCAGATGGTTAGAGTGACGATTATCCCAAGCTTTAGAGTAGGCTGGTGGCTACTGGCTTTGCAATGTATAAAAATCTTGACTTTTTCAGCTTGGCTGGCCAAACGATCCAACAATTCACCCAACATTTGGCACAACAGTTTTCGGGATACTCGGATTGGGTCTCCTCTTATGCAAAACAGCAATTTTTGATTTAATTTCCATGACAGAAGTATTCATTGCCTCTGAAATTTCTTCTAACGCTTTTCCGCGTTTGTTTCTCAAATGGTATGCTTGGTGAAATACGTTCCACAAACAAAGACGAGCTTCCAGACATTCGATTAATTGTAAAATTTCCTCATGTCTCCATGCTCTCTTCCTAGATTGACCTGAAATATTTTTCACCTCTTGAGCTACTGCCGTTGTCTTTACTTTCTTGCGCTGAGATTCTTTTGGCAGGGTAATTTTTTTATCAGGATCAGCAGCACAATCATCAGCTGGCTCGACTTCACTGCTTGTGGCTACTTTTTGGTGGATGTAGTCCAAGACGGCCTAAGCCTGTCATCCCTGATCTTGAAAGCAACGTTTTTCTTTTCACCAAAACTCTATTCATTTCCTCTACGGTCTCGTCGTACTCATCTTCACTCACTAAATCTCTTTCTTCGTACTTTTCCATTATCCAATATTCTTCAGTCGTCCAAATCAATTCTACGCTCTTCTTTTGCTTCACAAACTCAAACTTGGCGCGCAGCGGTTTACGCGATCATATTCAAGTCACATTTGCATAACATATTTTATGTGATCACAGAATGTGATCATGTAAACGACCTTACAAGTTGCTTGAAGTTGTACGAAGCAGCAAGAATTAATACTTTTTAATTGCCTGTTAATTCGATGTCACAGATTCTTCATTTGACCATTTGACCAGCGCAGTTGCGGATTCAGACCGGGTTCCAAGGGTTCTGGAAGCCTGTCAAATTTTCCAAAGACACATACCACCAGTTTTCCCTTTACTTTCGAATTAATCGCAACCAGTCCCAACGTCGAATGGTCTCTTGTACCAAACCTTGGCTGCTCTCTAAATATGGTATGCCATGGTTATCTTTTGTAACATATTATATTCCTCTAAAGAAAGGAACCCTGTCGTAGCCAAGACAACCCTTTGTACCATATTGTATTTTTTTAAAAAGGAACCCTATGAGCCAATATGAGCAAAAATGAACAAATAGGCAGTCGAAGGCATTGACTGCACAATGGCGAGATCTTGTTTTAAGCCCTCAAATAGGAAGAGACCAGCACCTGTAGATCAATGAAATTTGATAATCGTATGGAAGAGTGCTATGAATTTTCAACCAAGCTTTTCAAACACGCCTCGCAAACTATTTGCTCATTTTTCTCGACTGGCCTAGCCAACCTGGAGAAAACAGATCACCGCTTTTTTCGAGGGGCGATTCACTCTTGCAAACAGCGTACGAGATATTCCCTAAAACAGAAGAATTTCTAGCAATTTTTAGATAAAACAATAGGATTTTCACAAAAGGTGTACGAGATTTTCGTAGAGTGATTTGCCCCTCTGCTTTTTTGCTCATGGATCTAGCGAAAAGTCCATTTCAGATGGTTGTAAAGTGGCATTTACGAGAGAATTTGATGCAATTAGCAGCAGAGAATTCTTGGCAGGAACTCAGGAATGTCGAAGATATTTTCTCTTTGACGTGGAAAGTTTATAGAACTCTTGAAGCCCTATACAGAATATATTTATCTATAGAAAAGAATGAGAGAACTTTATTAAGATAAAATGAAAGACTTTAGAGAATGGGATAAGATGATTTCATATGTCATAGTTTGCACTTTTTGATAATTGGGTTTGTTTGCTATATATAATAAGAGGCTTCGTCCATCGTTATCCATTTTTGACAAACTTGGTGAATATATGTAAATTTGTCTGGTTTATAGCAGAAATTTCACTCAAATCTTGCAACACTCAGTAAGCTTATATCCTGCTGTAACCAGCTAGAGGAATTTATTAAGGTCCTCTGTTTGGCAAGAAATCGAAACCATTCTTTTAGAATTCATAATGAAAATTCCTGGTTTGGTTTACAGATTTATTTTTTACTTGCCTTGGAATCATGATGAAATAATATATCTTGTTAAAATCAGATCTTGCAATTGTGAATCTTATCAAAAAGCGAAAATGGGCGTCGCCCAATTTTGGAAAAAGTCAAGGGCGTTGCCAAAAAAATATGGGACCACGCCCATATTGGAACCCAGTCAAATTTTTGTCTAGATCCGCCACTGGACCAGCGAAAAAATAAAGGTCTGTGATGAAATTTTTTCAAAGGCACCGACAAGTCTTTGCATGTCCATTTTACGATAGGAATCCTCTTAATCCTTTTGAAGTCTTTTATTTTAACAAAAAATTGAACAACAGATAAAAAACGACTGGTCAAATCTGGAGCTCATTGTGAATTGCAGTTGATGCTTCTACTGAGAGAAATGAATGGACACAAGGCGCAAATTTACCTAAAGAGGGTCTCGATCTTCAAATCATTAACGCTAAGTATGTTTACCTTCATCCATATAAAGGATAATCACACTTAACCAACAGAGCAACTACCTTTGCTTGATTCTTTATTGATTTTAAGACTAGAATGTCTCTGAAATACATAAAGTGTTTCTTCCACTAAGCGGATTTTGAATGAAATTTCCCATTGGGGTACTATTGGGGGTGTGACACCACGTGACCCAATAACTCCCCTATTCTCCAATAACAATTTATTTCCATTTTTTCTAAGGGTTAAATCATCTTCCGATGTCTACCTGTTACTTGAATAGAAAAATCTTAGAAAGAAAGAATTTGACGTAGTAAAATTTTGCTAACATAGCTTTCAATTATCAAGAGGGCAATTGAGGTCACAATGAATGGAAAGTAAAAAAGTAATATTCGTCCAATCAAAGACTCGGTAATGGCAAAAATTAGCCATGAAATTTTAGAACTACCACGAAAAAAGAGAAGAGGGTGCAGCCCCTTTCGAATAGTAAAAGGGGGCTGAGCCCCCTGAGCTCCCTCTTCTAGAGCCCTGCTAACATCCCCCATTCATTGCTGCTTGAATCTGCCCCGGGATAATAGCCTGAAATGGTGGGTATGAAAGCATCAAATAGATGTTGAGCACCTAGTAAGAGCCATTAAGACAAATGCATGTGTGCTATTGTGTGGGCCAGTTGATTTCGTCGTACTTTTGAGAGAAGGCATTATGCTGAAACTGTCGCAAGAGTGAATCATATCTACAAAAGCGTGGGAGAACCTGCTGTTTGCGAAATTATCAACTGCCACCTAATAGGATGTTGCACAATACAATCAAAGTGAGTGAGACAACTTCATTTGCCAACAAGATTGAATATCCACCAAAGAAGGACCCACACAGGGCTAAAATCCTCGTTTTTGAAATAAAACGTTGTTCAAAGCGAGGGGCAAATCATTCTTGAAAATAGTGTGCGAGGTTAATAATCACTAGTGATTGATTTGTGATTAAATCAATTTTGTGTGTGATTAATTTGATTTTTAGTGATAAAAGTGATAAAAGTGAATTTTTTTATCTATTTATGATTTTTTAGAAATTGAATCATGGATTCAAAAGTGCCCTCAAATAATTCGTCAACGATTTTGCAACATGCTATATGAAATTAAGAAAGAAAAATTAGCAGTTCAGCACAGGGGTATATCCAGAAAAAAATTAGAAAGTTGCAGATTTGCAAACGAAAAAGGTCCAAAAGTTTAAAAACATTAACAACTAAAAACAGAGATATATTTTCTGAACAGCATTAGCAAAATATTAAATCAGTATTATAGGTTGGTGACAGTAGCTTGAAGTGAAAAACAGTGAAAAGTTGTTGATCACTTTGAATGAGACATTAAGACAAATGCATGTGCTCTTTTCTGTGGGCCGTCAACTTTCGTCATAAAAACTTGAATATGCATCAAAAAAGCTATCTTTCCTGAACATTAGCATTAGCAACATAGAAGCAAATAGCCTGGGATGAAAAACAGTGAACAGTTGTTGAACACCTTGTGAAAGACATTAAGACAAATGCATGTGCTTTGCTCTCTGCCCTCGCAATTGATGTCGCTATTGGGAAATTAAACTGTCATTCCTGAAACTTTCACCGATAAAAAAAATTACAAGTTCCAGAAATATGGAACCTGATTATCAAACTTTATCTGTGGAAATTGCAAGAATCTGACATAAATCATTTCCTATAAATGTAACAGCTGCAACTGGGAAATCTAGAACTGTCTGGATCCGTCCTTGAAGCAATGGGTGAAAAATGACTGCTATCAGGCGTGGTTTTCGGTCAGATCAACTTCAGTGGCATTTGGGCAACAAAAACAGCAATGGTTGTTTCAGTGACCCCGGCATCACAACGAGACCTTCATTTTTTTGCTCCATTGCAGGGTACTTATAAAAGCTTGTTGTTCTCGAGTGTGTGTTTGCAGACTTTCCAACGTGTTCATGGAAAGATTGGGAAAGTGTGAAAGGAAAAATTCTAACTATTGAATTTTTCAATAGCAAATCCGGATAAAAGTGGGCAAGGATTCTAATATTTATTTTAAGTAACTTTTATGATTAATGATATACTTTGTGATTAATTTTTTTTTTATTGATCTGATTCATTTGTGATTAAAGTGTGATTATTCTTGAAAGCGTACGTGATTTTAAGCAGTGATTTGCCCCTCGGTTCAAAATTACATTTTACAGTAGCTCAGCCTCAGCTTGTTCTTAATTTCTTCTTAACTTTTGATCAATTAAAATTGTTCTGATAATAAAAGAGTGTAAAGGCTCGTAAAAAATTTCCGCCAAAGCCTGAAATTTACGAACCAGAATTACATCATTTCAGAAAACTAGAAAGACTCGCTCACAATTGACAATCGGAAGGAACTTAAGAAAGGGCAAAAGAGTTTTAAATCGCAAGGGCCCGTTCATTCTTGCTTAAACACTTTGTAAATAAGAATAAAGTCTATAAAAATATTGAGGCTAAAAATTGCTAAGATTTAAGAATAATTCAAGAATAATGCCAGGCTCAACTTCATCAAAACTAAAAATTTTCCTTAATCCAAGCTTTCTCCCAAAGGAAAAACAATTGTCCCTTTGACGCTATATATATACTTTTTATGTTTTGAAATACACTCAGCCGATAGCGTTAGCGGCATCACCACGAAGGTATGCCATATATGCATAAACTTTTTTAACAATAGGGTGGTGACACCCTAAGTTCATTTTTTATTTTGACTGTAATGTATGACTGTAATTAATTATCAAAAATTTGGATAACGTTATCGTTCCCGTTCTAGCTGCGTCAGTCCCTGAGTTAGCAATACAGCGATTCTTCGGAACGCTGGGTTCCTTCGGATTTAAAAAATATTGTTAAACATAAAGGAAAAGACGTTGCAGTTAATAAACCCAATCAAGTCGAAGATGAGAAAGTTAGAAAAAGCGTCGTGTGCCCTTACCGCAAAGATACTTTTGTCAATAATCAGGGCTTGGGTGTACACAAACTTACATGCGAGAAAAATAAAGTGGGTAAACCTCTGAACGAGTCAACAAGCAATCTACAGAGTCCTGAAATTATTCAGTCATGGATGAAGGAAATGGTCAGTAAAGATGAAAAACAACTTGAAGAAGCCAAATCTCCGTTTCGGAAAAACGCTACAACTATTAGTGAAAAATCTGGATCGATTCATTCTGTTTGTTGATAACCTAACAGCTCAACAGGCAGACCAGTTCAAAGAAGCTGTTGCGAGCCATGGCGGAGTTGTATGGTATGGCTTAAAGAATGCTACGGATTTCTGGCAAGTCGTTGATGCAGGGATTGCCCAAACCTTGAAGGTTTTGACTGGCCACAATTATCAGCAATGGCTAGATGAAGCAAACTGTCGATTTATGGTATGACCATAAGCACCTATGTTAAACTCAAAAGTCATCTGTCCTGTACAACCAATGCAATTTTGAGTTCACAAGGAAAAATATTGAAAAAATATGGAATCGGTGCAGTGGACAAATTGGGAAAAATCAATGACAGTCCAACTGACATTAAAATAGTTCAATGCAACTCTCTATCTCTAAAAACAATCCATGAGTTGAAGCCATGAGTTGAATTGGTGTAAGGGGCAGGAGCTGTTTAAAATGTTGATTCTTTATAAATTGAATCATTGGTACAAGTGTACATCATACAGATGGTGTCAATAACTAGAGCATGCAAGATAAGAATATCTAAACTACATAAAACAATTTGTCAAGTACTAATCATGGGCCTCTACATCTTCTTCTTCTTCTTTTGTTCCACCTAACAATAACTCCTTCCAACCCTTTTTGTAAACTGGCTCCCATTCTTGAACAGATATCTTGACAGGAACTGTGCTCTCTCTATTAACAGTGACATTAACTTCATAGTCCCCATATGACGAAATTGATTCAAAATCTGTTCTTATACAGTGTACTGGAACATGAAGCTTAAAACTGTTTTTAAATGCTAAAGCAATATGATGTTTTGAAATTTCCCAGCTTTCATGTTTTGGCCTTTGTAAAATAAGATTCATATTCTTCAGTTTGTTCAGGAATTTCAATGATGCCCTTGGCTTTGCTGCACTTTCAGTGCAATTATACTTCTCAAGATTTTCTTTTATCGCATAATCCGCTTTTCCCTCAGGAATAAGAACATGCCTTGCATAGCCACGTTCAACTTTCACAACTTCGTATTTTCTTCCCAGGTTTTCATCATCCTCAAGGAGAATGACTGAAAATTTTGGCCTTGGATTTGCCTTATCTCGTTTTGGTTTCCAGTAGAACTTATTTTTAAAGCTTGACATCAACCTCAAGCCAAACAAGTCTTCATATATGTAACACTGGGGCCTTACAAGAAGGGCTTTCCCATACAAATTTATTCCCTTTTGAGTGAATAAATTTTTCAGCATGCTGCCTCTGTGAATAAAAGATAAAAAAACGAAAATGTCAACATAATTATACTTTTTGAAACTAATAATTAATCAATCTGTTAATAGTATGGATTTGTATAAAAAGAAACAAAGTAGCAATTTGTTAAGCAACTGTCTTTATTCCCCTTATATTCATGGAATAAAAGTGCAAAAGAAAGCTTGGTATCTTAAAACCTGCTTTGACATTTTTACTTACTGCATTGAGTAAAGAAAATTTTCAAAGTGGTGTGATGTGGAGTTAATGAGAGCTTCAAATTTATCTTATTAACAAAGTGGGAAATAAAACAAATTGTTTTTCCTAGATGCAGTTAGACCGACATCAGATAAATTGTAGATAGGTAAGTGGATTGAAAATTACTTGATTTAAAAATGGGTAAACAACAGCGCAAAAATTTATGTTACCATGTTTGCAATGTTGGCATTATATAGAATTACAGCATGTACAGCATATATAGAAAACAGTCTTAATTTTTTATGTCCACCAGGAAAAATCTTAGATAATGTATGATAATCCCTCATAAATTTTTATGTTTTTAGAAATGAAATAATATCACATATCATATGACATAATTTAGAAATGACATAATAATGTGTTATCACTTCCTGGCTAAATCTAGCAAATTGCTGAATGTAAATAGCCAAGGCCAAGTCTATTTGAGTGGCATGGCAATGATGGTGCCATGGCATATTGTACAAGAAGGCAAACACATAGAAACTAAATATTTCAGAAAATCAGCACAGCTGATTATGCAGTATAACACACTTAAACAGAGTCGTGTCAGCCAATAAAACAATGCTGGGTGTGTAATATATAGCTGCTTGATAGTTGCTATCATCATCATAATGAAATTAAAGAAATAAAATTTTAGGCCATCCGTCTCAACAGTTGACTCACTGAGCAAACATGCAACTACATCCATGGCTTCAAATAAGATAGGATATATTCACAATTAAAGTAAAGGTCAGGGAAATTACCTGTGCATATCCCTCTTTCGAAGAGCCAGTAAGCAACAGTAAAATACCTATTACAGAGTCACCGAGTCCTCTTTCTAGAGTTTGCGCCGAGGGAAAGAACAAACCTCTTTCTGAAAACGAGGGAGATTTGTTCGTCGAAAGGTGTTCTCGGGAACCAGTTTATTTTCACTTTGGCAAGTTCAATAAACAGCACTGGATTTCTTGGAAAAAGGCGTCTGAACACCAGAAAGCTGGGCTATGAAGTAGAAGGAACCAGTGGTGCAGCTTAAAACAAAGTAAATTATGCAGAACAGTTCTGTAGGCCAGAGCGTCAGTTACAATGTGGCCATGATGGCATCGGCAGATCAGTATTGGGACCCAACTGAATCCAGTGAATGGGATAAAGAAAAACCGACATCATTTTGCATTCAACGCGTAAAGAAAGATATAACTGAAATTTACAGCGAGCCACCGCCGTTTATCTGCGTCGTCCCAGACCAAGGAAATATAACCAAAATCCACGCGTTAATTATTGGGCCAGCAGATACTCCTTATGAAGGAGGATTTTTTCACTTTTTCATTCGTTGCCCTCCTGATTATCCCATCAGACCCCCAAAAGTTAGACTTCTAACAACTGGCAGTGGTACTGTTAGGTTTAATCCAAACCTGTATAAGAATGGGAAGGTTTGCTTGAGCATTTTGGGAACATGGTCTGGACCTCCATGGAGTGCCTCACAGTCAATATCCAGTGTTCTAATTTCGATCCAATCACTGATGTCAGAGAAACCATATCACAATGAACCAGGGTATGAACAAGAAAGACGTCCAGGTGATTCAAAGAAGTATAATGACTGTATTATACATGAATCTCTAAGGATTGCTGTGTGCCAAATGTTGGAGGGGGGCAACCAACACTTTCCAGAGGCTCTGATGGATGTAATGGAGAAATCATTTGTTGAGTTTTATGAGCATTATGAAGCAAAAGCAAAGGAATTTCTTCATCTAGATGGAAGCAACTTTCAAGATCCATTTGGAGAAAATGTTGGGGTTTACAATTTTAAGGAAATACTTGCGAGTCTGCATAGAATTAAGCAAAGACTAGATAAAAAACATGGCTCTTAGATACTGGACATTTGAAATTCTATTTTAGGTTAACAAGTGGTGGCCTAGTTTTCACTGAGTAGCTTTAAATAATGTCCAATAAACTGACTAAATTATTTGTTAGAGAAGATACTCATTTGATCTCTGATTAAGATATGTTTCAAATTATTTGTTTTCAAACATCAAGTGGTACAGAAAAAGATTATTTCTTCTTGTTCAAGGTAAATCTAATTTTAATTTTGGCTATCTGATTTTATAAGTGTAATGTACATTATTTCTGCTGCTAAGTATCAATGAAATATGGATTGCAGTGACTGTTGCATGCTCAATTTAACCTTAACCAATGTCTTTTTTCGAAATACATTAATGTGGGATTTCTTCAAATTAGGTTTTAACGTATCTTTCACAATAACTATTTTTTCTTTGGACTGTTAACTCTCTGAAAAATATGTAATGATCATTCAGCCATATTCTGTTCATGATAAAAATGTTGTGAAGTGGTTCAGGGATGTCAGAAGTATATTGGGGTGAAATGGGGCAGATTTTCGACTGAGGGCAGCAGTCTGGCAGGCAAATCTAGCTAGCCAGGAAAGGATCTTGGGGGGAATTCCCCTAGACTCATTTTGCTACCACACTCTCTGGATTGGAAACAACATCAGGCTAAATTTATTATGCTTCATTTTTGAAATTTTGTAGCACTATTTCTACTTTGACTGTCTGTTTCTTTTTCATGCAGTTTTTGTATTGAATGGCTAGTCTTAATCTAATGCTCAAAGTGACAAAGACAAAGGAAAAGGAATAATGTTGATCTCTAAGAGTATGTTTTTGTTCATGGGCAAATTTTATTGATGAAATTTTATTTTCTTTTGAGAAATTTTGACTTTGAATGCTGTTACCACTGGGAACATCTACCTGCCCATTACAATAAAGCAAGCCCAGTTCTAGTACAAAACTGAGCTTTGAAAGTGTTTTTAGTAACATAACAATTCTATCTATAAGATATCTAAGGCTTTAACAGACATAACAGATTATGACAGACATTAAACACACTACTCTTTCAGCATATGTACTAACTTAATGTTTACAAAAACAGTAACCGTAATCCTCTGCCCTCACTGGTTGAGGATACAGAAGATAGCTGCCCCCTGTATGTTTAAATTGTCAGATTGAGTAATAACTTTGAATGAAAGAGTTTGAAAAAAATAAACTGAACATAGTTTGTCTATGTTTTCCAAATCTCTCAAGATCCCTATTTTTGTTGAAAATTTGATTTGATTTAACTTTAGATTGATTGGTTAGAATTCGTTAATTGTACATATTCTTCAAATATGTTATTCACTGTATTCTCACACAATGAATAAGATTCATTTAGCAATTGTCAGCTTTTTATCTGAGACCCAAATCCTCTATAAACATTTTAATGCCCAAATACCAGACAAATATACTTTACTTTTACCAAACACAATTTCTGAATTCTAATTTCATTATTAGGCTAGATCATGTTATCAATCCACTACCATTCAGAACCTTTTAAATGGAAAGGGAATACATGATACTATACTCCTGAAGACTTGAAGACACAATTTCCAAATCAGAACATTTCTATACAGTTTGAATTGGAGAAGAATATAATGCATTCAGTTGCAAATATCATCATCCCTTTCATGCCAGTGGCAAATCAACATGTGGTTTTTCCTTAAAAAAATTCACTGGAATGGAATTTATTACATTATGAAGCTCATTGGCCTCAAACCCTGGGGATAATTGCCCCTCTGCCCTTTTTAGCATTTCTTAGACAAGTTGCCTTTAATTTCCACACTAGTAGTAATACCATAACCTGCAATAAAACCGATGACTCATTGGTATATTCTTGTTTTAAAATGTTTATAGTTTTTTTAAAATAGTTTAAAAAGTAAACTTGCCAATCCACATTAAATTGAAAAAGCAGCAAATCCAAGATATTACTTTTTCTATACTTCTTATCTCTCTTACTTAGCATCTTCCATTTTGTTTAAAGAACATTCTACATGAAATTTTATCCTTTCTCATAGCATTTTTTCAAGGATAGTTTAGAGGACTGAAAGGCTTTCTTCTGGAAGGTGTGTGATCGCACGTGCACACCCTGGCACACCCCTACTGCTTTTGTGGAGTGCAAAATATCACATGCCTGGATGTTTTCAGGTGTGCGTTGGTTAGCACGCCTGCTATATTTTTCCCATGAAAGCCTGCATAGCCTCATTGATTTAAAGAAACAATTCAAAAAAATGTCTCATAAAGTATAAATACACTAACTGTCAACATAGAAGTGAAATGAATTTAACTTATTAAAAGACATTAAAACATTAAGAATAACTAATAGATTACAGCCATTAATATTTTATCCCCTTATCAGCTATGGATCTAACACTATGCCATGAAAATGTTTAGAATATTGAAAGAAATAGTTTGTTAATAGCTGTGATCAAAATGATAGAATCATACTGTTCGACTTAGAATAGAGACTTGGGAAAACTTTCAGGCCCAATGTCAGCAATGCTTTCAAAACCTTTCCCATGATAGCTCCAGGGAAAATTCAAATTTCTAAAAAGGAGTAAGGGTACAGGCAAATTCTAAAAGATAAATATCAGAATATGGCACCTTTCTATGACTTTAACCTTTTTAGTTGAAGAAAGAAACATTTTGAATAACTCAGAGTGTTGGATCAGAGACTGAGGAGCTGGGTTATGAAAATATTATTCTCAGGACAATTTACTCAAAATTTAGCTTAATAACAAAAAATTGCTTTAACACAACTATTATGATTTGCAAGTATATTTATACCTAAAGTTCTGTATCACGACTTGTGGTTTCTTTAGGCTTATCCTCATTGATTTTCACAGAGCTATCTGTGTCTCTTGTTGCACCCCACACCTGATCATTATTTTCTGCTACCATTGATTTTCCTTTTATGTTGATCTAAATGATACAAAGGTAATATCTATCATAATCAAACAGAATAAAATGCGATATTTTGAAAATAGCATTGAATGAGCTATGAAATTTCTCAGCCAGTAAAGTTTCAATTATAAAATTTCAATTTTTATCTTCATATTAGCCAAGACTGGATCATTGAATTGGAATCTTCATTTTTAAATATAGATTTTTTTCTTATTTATTTCATTGGAACTTGTTACTGCTGTGACAACATTTTATTTGTATTTGTCTCTACCTAGCATCCCAAGGTAGTTTTTAGGACACTGAGAAGCTTATGCTTATCAAGCAGTCCCCTACATTTAATGCTCAAATTTAACAACCTGTGTTGTTAATAAAGTTGCAATTTTGAAGGACGAATTATAAAAGAGCAAAGTTGATAGTTAAGAAATGTACATAGCATACTTATTATTGGAAACCAACTAAACTTTTCTAAAGAAACACACCAGAATATACAAGCAACTAAGTGAGCATGAAAAACACAGCATGAACAAAACGATGTGAACAAAGCCTTCAGATGTTATCGCTACCAAATTGTAGGGGCTGTGAAGTTCCTTCTTATGTATTCTTTATACAGTAAAACCTGCAGACACCTCTACAAGGCAGACTTCTCTATAAGAAAGATCCCTCTAAATATGGAATTCACATCATTGATATTATACAGTAAGGAACAAGACGCCTTTTCTCTTTGTCTTGAGCAAAGAAAACAGTTGCATTTTATCCATTCCTCATTTGCTCTACACTCTTTTCATTCTGAAGAACTTTTTCTTTGTTCACAATTACTAATTCATAAAAAGCACTAACCCGTTATTTATCAAACTGGTGAATGAGTTAATTTTATATGCTATTTAGAGTAAATTAAAGTGCTATGTAAATATGCCACTTCATAATCTTCCAATATTTTGTAAAATCTAAAGTCAGAACTAAAAAGTGAAGTAAGTTAACAGTGTATACTACAAGGGAATAGGGGAAACTAGAGATAGTATAGGGACTGCATGGGGACAGCTAGGAGCCATATGGAGACAGCACAAGTGCTCTAATATGTATACCGAACCTGGATTGCATAAAACATCTGGATCAGGGACGCTAGAGAAGGGGGGCATGGGGGGTCAACCACCTCAGTTGCCCTTTGATAGGAGGGGCAAGAGTGGCCAGAATGCCCTTTTCATTAATGTGCCCCTGAAGCCAGCCAATTGTAATAATCAGAGATATTCCTATTAAATTTCTTATTATAGTTCTTAATTCATAACAACATTTTTCAAAACTTGTAAATAAATCCTGGTTCCAAAAGTTAGCCAATTATCAAGACATCTACAGAAGATTGAAATAAAATAGCAGTTAGTAGAAGGGACTAGTAGAAGGTGGAAGTTATCTTTGAAATGTCCTTTTACTCAAGCCTGCCCCCCTTGCCCCTTAGTTGTTCCGGTGTCCAGGGGCGCAGTGGGAGTTAACTTTTTGGGGGGGCAAAGCTGAAAATTTTCCGATAAAACTATGATTTTTCCGACAAATTTTTTCTCAATACATTCCTTAAAGATTACCCTTGCTGCATATACTGCAACACTTGATACTACAATATCACGAATGGATCTGGAAATCGTTAACGAATGGATCGTTCGTTATACACCTTCAAGTTCAACAATAGCCTTTATTCTAACAAAACTTACCAAATATAAATCGCTATGAACAAAACTGCAACTAGTTATAAATTTACACCCTACAAGTCTTCTCGCTATACTAGACAATAAACTGTCAAGTTAGTGTTTATAGCTGTTTTAGACTGGTTCCAATTCCAAGAAATTATAAAACAAGGGGCATTTTTTAGTAGAAGCTGGGATCCAGTTGATTTTGGGTATTTCGACCATGCTGATTACGAATTTCGAGGATCCCAAGCGAAATTAGCTCATTTAAGGGCTTAATTTGCATATCAAAATGGCTGCCAGTCAAAATCTTCAAAATGCTGCCAAGAAAATCCATGACACTGCATTCGAATAGGATATTCACTAATATTGCTGTTATGAGGATAGAATTTGGTAAAATGGTGTACAGCAACATAATCTACACAACAGGGAACTTTTTAAATTTTAACAGGGAACTCATTACATCCATGACGTCATTATGATGTCATAATTGAAGAAAATGGCAGAATTTGCCAACTATTGGTAATATCTCAGTTTTAATTATTAAGTCCTTTTATAGTCTCTAGAATGTATCAAAATGCACCAAAAAGTAAAAATCAGAGATGTGATTCCTATCTAAGCTTATTATCTATATCGCTTATTCATGATTTATTTACACCAATTTGTCATTGTTTCATTTAAACCACTAATTACTGGTGCAAATACTCTAAAGTGTCTTGAATTTACTTTTAAAGATAAAGAGAACCAATTTGGGCTAGTAAAGTTGATCTATTACATTTTCTGTGATTTACATGACGTCATAAATATGATGACGTCATTAACTTAAAAATTGTTCACGCCATCAAAAATTGAAAAGGTCATGCAACATTTCAAGGTCTCATCGAAATCAGTCGAATGGTGGCATTCTCGATGATCTATGATCCTCCGGCAAAAATTAAACTCATTGATTTGGTTTTCTAGCTGGTTAGTGTCTACTATAATCTGTTAGTGTTTAAAATAAAATCTTCCAGTTTTATTTAGCCCATTTAATTTTAGGAGAAATGGCAAACTTTCGGCTCTTCATTTTTCGAACTAACGACAAGTTTATGTATGACATTTTCTCAAATGAAATTTTCTCCCAAGTAGTAATCGGGTGAAATGTCAACATTGAATATTCAAGTGGCTGAACACGTTCCTTTTGTACATCCAGTTCTACTATGCTGCATTTTTGTGAAGGTCTCTAACGTGTGTCCAAGCTTGAATCTAATCGATTATAGGTCAGTGGAAATCGTTGTTTTCAGCTTTGCTGCATATGCCATACAACTTGCTACATTACAGGCCTTGCCCAAATTAACACTATCTTCTGACTAATAATTCTTGAGAGTTGTTAACAACAAAACAGTTGTAGTTTCACTTCATTGCTAATTTTTGAGGATTCTTCTCATGTTGATATGCGCAAGGCCTGCAGTGTGAAGCTTGACCCTACATTAAGATTTGAAGGAGTGTCTGATCTAAATCTTAAAGCAAACTAAGCTATATGAGTTTCTGCATCGTATGTTACATCCACAAAAGATCATCTCCAGAGAAGCAGTAAGGATTGCTTCACTGTCATTAGAATCGGCTTTAATTGATCTTCAGAAAGCTCCCATCCGAAATCTGTAGGTGACGGTAAGTCTTGATGCGGTGATCCAGCTTGTTTCCATATCATTGCTTGGAAGTGTGCTCTTCTTATGTGAAGATGTGCCACATCAATTGTAGGAGGCAATGCCTCGGGTTTTGTTTTCTTGAAAAATAGAACGTGTCTGGCTTCATTTGTGGCCTGCACCAAAGCCGTGGCAAAAAAAATTTTCTGCTTTCCGCATAACTTGTTCGTTAATACCTCCTTCTCCCATGTTTTGCAAGAGTTCATGCGACTCTTTAAAAACTTTCCATGCAGATGCCTTTGTACTCCCAGACAAGTACGAAGTTGTATCACATCCAATAAGAGTGTGAAAGGGGATGAGTGAAAGGGGAGGAATGAACAGATCCCTCTGGCAAGGCGTGAAGAATCTCTTTGACTGGAATATATATTTCCTCTTCTTTGACGTTTCAGACATCATCCAAAGATCATTGCATCGCATTCGTTCACAGTGGGACACCAGAATGATGAGGACATCTGCATCTCTATAGTAGCAACTACTACTATATTGCAGGTGACATTGATAGCACAAAGGGCAATTCTGGTGTCTGCTTCTTCATGGTCTGCAATCAAAGACAAGGTATCAGTGTAGCATTTCGATGACTGGGCAAGCAATTCATTGATAAATCCACCAGCTGTAAAAATTTCTTTATCTTCAGTTGCTTGGCGAAGCAACTCTTCTGACAGGAATCGTGCAAGATCTGCTTTGTTTTCTGGCAATGCAAAGATGTTTGACCAGAATTTTGGAAGAGGTACCAAACCGCTCTCTTTAACTCGGCGAACAGGCCGGCTAGTTTTTTTCCGCCTTAGTCTGGTACTAGTTTTGATTGATAGTTGTCTATAGCGGTCAAAAACAACGTCGATTCTCTGGTAGCGTTTACCCATTTGAAGCACTGCTAAATCTCTGGTAGTGTTTACCCATTTTAACAAATGTGTCTGCTAAATCACGAAACGAAGAGCAACCATTTGGTTTGCCTAATAACACCACTAGAGCCTGACCATCGATGATTAAGCACGCTGTTATTCCATGAAGATCGATACTCTCTAGACAATTGATGCTATCCGTTAGCTTGTCAATAAGGACAGACTTGCTTCCAGTCCGAAGAGAACAGTTCATTTCAGTGAGAGATGAGGAACTGGCATCAATTCATGAGAAAGCAAACTCTTAAGATCAACTTCACGGCTGCCTTCATAAGCAGTGATCAGCCGCATGAGGATATTTCTATCGGCCTTGAAAATCGTCTGCTTCTCCTTGTAGTTTGAATTTATTGGAACTTCATATAGGCTTTGAAAGGTAAGCGCTCTGCATCTTTTTAATGGTTCGTTGAAGGATATCATGGGCTCTGTGTCAGACGGTGTCAGTCTGTGCGTGACAAAGCTTAACATTTGTTGCTGACCAAGATCGGCTGCATGCAACAAAGATTTTTGAATTTCTTTACTTTTTCTTTATTTGCTATATTCTACCACTTGCCAGAACTTTATGCGGTTCGGAGGGTCCCTTGGTTATACCTTGAAGTTTTTTGACCGGCAGCCATTTTGAAAATGCAAATTAAGCCTTTAATTAGCGAATTTCGCTTGGGATCCGCCAAATTCGTAATCAGCATGGTCGAAATACCCAAAATAAACTGGATCCCAGCTTCTACCCGAAAATGCCTCTTGATCTCTTTTTAAGAACTATTTTAGAGAAATGGAACCAGTCTATTTATAGCAAAAAGTTTTTGGCAAGTTTTAAGTCGCATCATAATTACTTTGCATTTATTTATGCTAAACCTTAAATAGATATAACGCGTCCAAAAGAATAGTTTTCTTTTAACTGAATTTATATAAACTGTTACTCAAGCAGCATCTTTCTCAAAAAAGGGGGGGCAGCATACAAATCGATGATGTCACCATAGTCTATCGACTGTAAAATATCACTTTCGACGTTGATTGTCATCAGAGAGGAAAGGCGGTCTTGTCCCATCGTTGACCGTAGCCGATTTTTTTACAATCCTCAGCTTTGAAAAAGCTCTTTCATAGTTTGTTGAACCTATTGGCAAAAGTGACGAGAACCTTGTAAAGAAGGACCAGCTGTGGAAAGGCACTTTGCAGGTTATACTTATCATCAACTGAAGAACTGAATGGAACTGAAAAGTTTTCTCTTTCTCCTGCAGCCGGGAGAGGGTTGCTCTTTTCTCTAACTTTCCAAAATTTACGGTAATTATTGGCGAAAGAGCTGTACTCATCTCCTAATTTTGAATTACACTGTACAGAACTGCCTTTCAATTGTTTTTTGAAAACATTCAGGGTTGAGTAAGGCAAAATCTGTCAAAATTGCCTTATGAGACGTGAATCTTGTATTCATTGAGCTGATAGCTGTATCTACTATCACGATGATATACGGATTCCCTATTTCCCTCTAATTCATCTATGCAATTTTCCCCTGGCATCTTTTTCTTTCTGCGTATTCGTCGCTCGACAAAATTTTCCTCTTCTAAGTCATGGCGAAAATAATAACTTTTTGCGTCTTCTACAAAACCAGCGAATTCATTTCGAAATGAACTGAGTTGAATTTTAACTGTCGGAAATGGGAGTTTATAAAATAACTGAGACCAGAGCGTTAATTTCCTTTACAAATTTCAGCAATGCGATGATTCCGAAAAATACTCTAATGAAAATAAGTAAGAAGGGTTGATCATGCACTATTTTACGACAGGTTTAAAAAAATATGCGACCTTTTAGACAGGATCGATGAAAACCTTACATTTTGTCTAATATTTCAAATTTTCCGACAAACGTTGGATTTTCCGACAATCCAACAAAATTTTTGCCAGGGGGGGGGGCGGCTGCCCCCCCCTGCCCCCCCAGCCACTGCGCCCCTGCCGGTGTCCCTGAACTGGATAGAAATTTTTCCACTTAGACACATATAAATATGCTCTCAAGGGCCTATGAAATATAAATGCATTTTCATAAAAACTGTCCACAGCTTTTGCAAGTCCTGATTCTTAAGGGTAAAGGCATCCTAGCCTTCTAAAAGGTACCAGTTGTATTGCCATTTATCGCAAAAAACATCGAGAGATTATGCACAAAACAGCTGCTTCACCTTACTGTCTAGAAACTATTTAAAAAGAGGAGAGTTTGCGTAAAAAGTAAATTGAAAGGCAAGCTACATTGACACTTACAGTCCCAGGCTCTTCTCCATCGAATATCGTATTTAGTTCAGCGCTTGTAAGTAAATTTATCTCATTGGGCTCAATCCTCCCATCCCCGCTTTTATCAATCATGCCAAAGTCCTGAAAAAGGAAGAACAAATTTTGCTTAGATTAATTTTCAATAAGAACACTCTTTATAAGAAAACTCAATTCGATTTTCCAAAACAGAAAGAGCAACATAAGAACATACCTAGCCTCAAATTGAAAATTAGAGGAATAAACAATGTGTTTGGGGAAAATTTTCTCATGTTTTAACCTAACAAATCAGATTTTATCAGCAAATTGGCGGTGGTGCAACCAACAATGTCAAGCTAAACTGTTTTTTAGTGGCCTTAGAAACACTTAATTGTCTGAAGTTATAGACAAATCAATGTTGAAATAAAAACAAAATTAAGAACACCCGAGCCTAAAATTACTAAAAAATTAAAAACATTAAGCCTCGGCAAAAATTATCTAGCTCTAACAAAAAAGAGTGTAGTTCACTTGTAATTTAACAAAACTTATAAATACAGGCTACAGAAAAATATTAAATTACAATTAATCTAAAATCTTTTTTGGAAAATACTGAATTGAAAACTTCTCTGGGATAGAAGAAATCAAAGACGCCTATTGGCAATGTCAAAAAAGACATCTGGAACTTAATATGAAGTAGCACCAGTATAAAATGAGTTGGTTATTAAAGCCAGATCAACAGGCGATTGTTGCAAGAAATACTGAGTATTCAAGGGCTGAGGCAGTCTCAGACCAGTATGCAGTCTGCATGACTATTTCGGACCCTCTTTTCGGACACAGTAGCGTTCTAAAGTGACGATGTCACAAAAATATAGTTTTAAAACTTTTGAATTTTAGTCCTATACCCTGAAAGAGCATCAGGAAATGCCTCTAATTGTGCAAAATCAATTATATATGTCGCGAATTGCTTGAGATAGGGTCACTTGAGCACAGGCTCCTACCCATCAAACCTCTTAAAGTTGGAAAAGTTATTAACAGAGCGAAGATAAGACGAACCAGATAGCAAACTTGAAATCTTAAATCTCCACCAATTTTCGACACATTTAAATGATGTCGCGTTTTTAGCAGCATGCTGGAAATTCATTTATTATTCCTAGATAAACTTTAATTGAGGTTTCTTTTCTTTCTCTAACAATTCACCTTCACATGCTTCATCTCTTTGTCCCAAGACAGGTGGTAGGAAATTATAACACGCCTCTTCTTCGAACGTCAAGTCTAATGGATCTTCGAGGACAATATCTCCTCAACACGATCAATGCTATGTTTAGTGATAATAGGTACCGCCCTTTTTCGAATGTTTTTCAACTAAATGGATCTTTCTTGAAATGAATGACCTAAGCTTTTTTAGGTTATGTATAACCCTCGCTAAGCATATCGTATTCTAGTAATTTAAAATTCCTCAAAAGATCTGCTTTCGTGAAAACAACATTGCTAGCCTCGTAAAGAGCTGATAATTGAACTTCTGATTTTCTTCTCCTCTCGATGTCCATTGATTGCGCCTTGAAACTTTTCCATTGACTTCAAAACAGTTTTCCCTTGTTTAAGGTTAACTGGCAGCGTTCAGGAATTTTCGCTCGTTGAGAGGTTCGTAACTGTTTTAGGAACACTTTGCCAATTCTCGGCTCTCCATTCTTTCATGGCTTCAACTGTTTCAACCTTTTCTTTTGATATGTGCACTGTTTTACATTAACGAGGCTTTAACAGGAACCGGTGAAACATTTTCTAAATATTTTCGAGCTATCTTTTCGAGCGTTTGAACCCAATTTATTTAGTGTAACTTAGTAAGTATTTCAATGGCAAAGGAAACTTTAATTTTAGCTTTAATCTAAATTGTGAGTTATACGTACAATTTTAAGATATTTTGCAAAATTAGGGGTCCGGTGATGGAGAAAAATCGCCAAAATTATTGGAATTACAGGCAATGTGTCACTAGTCACAAAATCATGGCCAAAATTTGCATCAGTTATGGAATTATGGACACTCAAAATGGCACGCTCGTATCTGAAAATTTCTTACTTTCTTGTTATTTTAATTCCTCGTTCTCTGGAAATAGCCCTTCCACTGACAAAAGTCGTTATGAGGACTGGGAGAAGAGATACCCAGCAATAAATTGTAAAAAGGTAAAGTTGTTAGGAAGATATGTTATACCTTGTGTGATATTATCTTCTTCCCAGTATGTTCAGACTGTGGAGATAAAAAGCTTTTCTAAGCAAAAGCCATCGTAAACATTCAATGAAGACAAGTTTCCTTCAAGTTAATATTATCCAAAACAGGGCATTTTTGATGACCTGAAGGTTAGAAATTTTGCTTGTCCTAAACGTGTGAGAACGAGCAGAATTTCTATATAAAAAACGTAAGTTTAATTGAGGTCCTTTTTCGTGTTGCTTTGCAAGAAAGTATTGTTCTTAGTAATTTGCTTGCTATAATGGTACTCAATGTCACTTGATCTGTTAATTTCTAAATGCATGTGGGAGAAATGTTTCCTTGTTTGTTTGCATTGACCTTAAATTGAATAAGACTGCTACAAGAAAAAAATTACAATATAAAGCATGATGCACATCTTACTGAATTGAAAAGAAACTTCTTTTGTGACCCAAGACCAGTAATTGTGGTAGATGTCATGGCATACCCCTACCCCCGGTTTCTGACCCCTCGGTGGACATTATTAGGAAATGTAAGATCAAAAGATCAGTCGATATATATCCATGCAGTCAAGAAATCATTTATATCTGATAGCAATCTGAAATGATATATAATATAACACCGCCTAACAAAATATGTTTTGACTTATTCTCCGTTGTCCGCTAGAATTTTAACTGAGGGTTTTCAGAGTTTTCAAAATTTGAGAGATAACAAAATGTGAAAAATTGCACCTTATTAGTATTCTTATAAAAACTAACTGTTGGGACTTCAATTGAAGGCTAGACATTATATATGAAGTTATCTATTTATCTACTGGTGGCCAGATCCAGATGGAACAAAATTACTTTTCAATCAGCTCAAGATGTGTAATCAGATAAATGTCAAAATCAATAACTTTTTCAAATGACATAAAAACCAATCAAGGGAAAATTAGACAGGTTGAAACAGTTGTGTTAGACCAGGTTTTAGAACAATCTGTAACGAGTGGCAGTATGGTTCTGACAGACAAGGCATTTGTCAATCAATGCGGTAACCAGAATAGCTTAGTCACTGTACTCTTTAAATTGCAAAAAGGAGAGGGGACAGAGGATTAATGCCGACTTCACTACAGCCCTGTTCACATGATGCAAAGAAGCCCAGATGCGCTCGAGGTTACATCTAACCGAGGTTTAGCCCGAGAAGGCTCTCTTCAGACAATAAGATCCAACCAGAGTCAGATGTAACCTTGGGCGAGCCTGAGTTTGTGTGTGTCAAGCAAATAGAGCATTAGGCCACACTAGAGACACAAAGATGTTACCCAGTCAATAGGACGTCATTTAAATCAAGCTTTTTTGCTGCATGGTTCAATGCTGCAAAATTTGGTAAAAGAGGGACAATATTTGTAATAAATATTAGCACACTTAGTAAATTTCTAAGTAGCAGTTATACAATCATCTCCTGATGAGAAATTTGTCTGCCGCTGGCTGGTGTGGCCAGGTGTGGCCTATTAACTTTGCACTGGCAGTCACAAAGTTCGATAAAAGGCGAAATAGAGTAAAAATAGATAAAAATTGTAATACCACAATGTTTTGATTGACAATTTCAAAATCAATTGGTTTATTTTGCATATTTGATAGCTGCAACAAGAGAAATCTGAAAAGAATAAAAAAAATCAAATTAAACGAGTATAAATCTTAGAAAGTACTTAAGCAAAGTACTTCAAACAATACAAATGGTTCTTATAGCCCCGGGATTCGCTATATTCTGAGCATTGAATTAGGCCAGTCTAAGAAAATTTGACAAGTCGTGATTACGCCATATTTTATTCCGCTAGTCTAAGAAATTGGACAAGTCATGATATATCCGGTTTGTCAAATTCGTCTTATATTCGGAATCATTCTGAAAAATCAGAGAAAGATCGTAATATCATTATTTCCATTATTTTTTGCCATTATATTGCTGACAAAATTTACCAATTTCTGATTTATTCTGTTGCTTAAAAAAAGTTAGTAATGGTAGACACATTCCATTTCTTTTCTTAACAAAGGTTATATCAAAATAATAAACATTACTACAAAAATACGAAAATATTCCATTGATACCTGTAGTGCTCTGCATGACTAAACTTCAGGTCCATTATGCTTCTATTTTCTTGAGCAGTATCTTCAAAACATAAAAAAAGCACGAAAATATACTTTAATCACATATCAAATTACCATATATGGTAACAAAGCTGAAGGGCTAAAAATTAGATCTGAAGATTTAAACATAAACTAGTTACTTATCTTCCCTTTTTTATCTCTGGTACAGATATGGTAGAATTCAGAAAAACTGTTGCCTGATGATTTCATTAAAAATGAGTTGCACCTTAGAACCGTGTTTAATAACCGCTTTTAAACAGATTAGCAGCAAACCTGTTAGATAAATGCTTACTATTATTCGGTTCTTTCTGGTCCCGGACTTTGATAAGTTCATAAAGCCCGTTTTAGAATTTTACATCCAGCCAAATACTTTGGCGTCTAACTTTTTCCCAAAAAAACGAAAGGCCAGAGAAGTAGCATATTGGAAGGCTTAACACTTTATCTTACTTCTTTCCATTTTCTTTTCCTCCAGTCCTTCAAATTACTCTTCCCTCTCTTTTCCTCCTCCCTCATACTTGCCACTTTTTTTCTCTCTATAGCCTCTTTTACCTTTATCTTAATATTTTCCTTCTTTTTGGATATCAGGGCTTGCTTAAATAGCAGTGAAACGAGCTGTAAGACCTACAGTGAATTCAATCTTAAATTGCATGGACGGTAAATCATATTTCAACACCTTAAATGTGGGGTTTCATTGTAGTTTTCTGCAGAAAAACGTTCGAGGACAAAATTATATTCGTTGACATTTGGACGAGTACTAAGTGTACCCTGTATTCTATCACAAGAGCTGCGAAAGCTGGAGACTTTTTAGGGGACAATTGCCCTGTGCCCCGACGAGCTGGACAATTGCCCTGTGCCCCTGGTGCCCCTGGTGCCCGCGCCTTTGGGGACACCACGCCCTTGGGAGTCCCACACTGCTAGATATCAATTCTTAGGCTCGATAAAATTTTGCCCTGGACCCCACAATGGATAGGACCTGTCCAGCACTATTTTTTTGAAGAGTTGCGAGTGTGATCAGGAACAATGGATCATTTAAGAGATTTGCATGAAATGAAGACTTACATCCAGATACGTTGAAATTGAACGCAGGTGTCCACCAGAAATTAACAGCAATATTTCGATCTGATGAAGAAACCTGATGTGCCCACCTATTATACAAGGTGAATAATATGTTACTGATACTATTTCTAGACTATATTTCTAGTAAACGAATGCAATATTTAGGCATAAATAATCATATTATTTTTTAAACTGGCTATGAAATTCAGAACCTTAGAGAACTTACTAAGCAGAAATGGGAAAGCTTTAATGGAGAAGCTTAAAACCTTGGAAATTATGACAAGAAGTAACAAGAACTGTCAGGCAAAAGGAAATGGCAAAGATATTCAAATTTTACAAGTTGGACCACACGTCAGTTGATATTTTAAGGCAAAACCTTTATGAAGCTAACGAATAAAGGCAAGGACTAAAAACATAAGATAAAAGTTCCGTTTGAAAAGGATAGATATAACTTAGAAAAAGGTCATCCGAAAAAAGGCTGTCTCGCTGATTCCAACTTCGCTGATTGTAACCTCTTCTGTTTATCACGTAAATTTTAAATATACTATCGTATGAAAGAACGCCCGATAAAATGAAAGAACGTCATTAAATACTACTGATAGTGCATTCAAAATCTGTTGCAACTTGACGGGGAAAGAGCATTTTCTCTTAATGCCTCGAACTTTTCTCTTATATGTCTACTAATTTATAACACATTGAAATAAATTTGAAGTATTTCACAACAGTGGTTCCGTTTATGTAGTCTGAATGTAAACACAGATAGATATTTAGAAAATAGACTTCATCACTTGTACCAAATATTAGAAGCAAATACAAAAAGATAGGAAAAAGGTATGACTTTGTATTAATTTGTCAATAAGTGCCCCTTTGACTTGTAAAGACATAAATAAACAATAAATATTTTCGAAATATACTTTAGGAGTATGTTTTTATCAAGCACACGAGGGTAGATTTAAACTAGAGGCTAATGAAAGAAAGGATCATTTTCTCGACGGAATCGGCAATATTATAGAGTTCTTAAGAAATGGCTTAAGAAATGAAATCTATTTTAGGAATTTTCGAATTTGGATCCCTTAACCTGAAAGAGCATCATAAAATAATTTTTAATGCGCAAAATCAGTTAAATCTGCCGCAAATTGGCAGAGATATGTGTGATATTTGCAGAGCAACATTGGGTTGAAAATTCGACAATATTATCATGTACTCTTAGAACCTTCAGCAGCCTCATTCTTTTTATCATCTCTTGTTCAAAGCCATCACATTGAATAAGTTTAGTTGTTTCAGCTCTAAATATAGTGCCAAAACGTCCCATACCAGTCTCTTTATGTAAAACAAACTTATTCAAGTTAAATTCTAATTCAAGGTGCGGTTTGTCGCTTGCTTTTCAGTGCCGTAGGAACGAAATTCATAATCATAATCATAAACTTTTCTAAAGTTTGTTTATTTATAGTTAATGAACTAATTTAGACCAACTATTTACAAAAATACATATAAAAACTACGTGCAGATATGACACGTGCATCTATTTCCATCCCAACTGCGTATTTCAGTTCAAAAGCTTTTCAGGGTGGTTGCAAGTTTTATACGATCGTTTAAAGAATTCCATATTAAACTCCCTCTAAATGAAAGAGAACCATAACATAACGCTGGGTTTTTATTAAAGGACAAGTGACACGCTTTTGGCGCCAAATTTTTTTTTTCTTTCAACTTAGAGTAAAATGCTGTATGAGAGTGTTGTTGAAATATTTTTCCTTTCTGATTTCATTTTCCCACTTAAAAACCCATTTGAAATTATGGCGGGAAATGAATCACGTGACACCGTGACGTAGATTGTGATAATTTGTTATTGCTGCTACTGGTATAGAGTGCAATATTAACGTTTACAACACACTTGTAAACGAATACAGTTCGTCTGGACCTGTCGCGTCGTGTTTCGTAAACTCTCTATCAATTACAGGAAAATTCTGAGTTATCACAATGTACGTCATAGGGTCACGTGATAAAAAGCAAAATCGCGCCCCCTGCGCCCCCTGATTAGAATTTTTTGTTCCAGACCAGGAAAAACTTACTTCTAAAAGATGATCTATAAGTTAATGAAAAGAAAAGATAGGGTGAAAAGTGTGTCACTTGTCCTTTAAGGGGAGTTTGCACAGTTCCTTACTTCCGAGGTTATAATGAAACATTGCCACATGTATTCCGGATTAATATGGTTGATCGATTTATAAATTTCCACCATAAGGCTTTTAAAGTATTTCTTATCTATTGTTTTCGTTCCATCTTTATCCAGGAGTTGTTGAAATGTGGAATCGTCGTCTATAATATTCTGTGCTCGTTTGTGGGCCCTGTCAATTTCAATACTTGCAACTTTGCTGCAGAACATCCAGATCAAACGGCAATATGAAAACTTTGACAACATATTATAATTTTTCAATATCTTTGACTTTTGTGGCCATAAAAATGGTCTTAACCTGCCAAATGCAATCGCTTTCTGATAAACTTTTTTTCAAAGCACTTTCACCTGCTTTACGAATTTAAGTGTGTTATCGATATGAACACCAAGAAGTTTTGCATTTTCGCTTGGTTGTATTAGCATGCCTTTCATGTTCAGGCATAGTTTGTTTTTAACTTTTCGTCCTAGAAACATCATTTGGAATTTTTAAGGGTTAGTACTCGTGCCATTTTCTTTAAACCAATCAACCAACTTTCGTAGGTCACCCTCTAGTTTTGTTATGACTGCTTCGATAGTAGTGTCGAATGCGTATATTGTCGTATCGTCAGCAAAATTACATATTTTTGATTCATGTTCTAAATAGAACATATCGTTTATAAATATATTAAAAAACAAGAGTGCCAGGACAGAGCCCTGTGGTACCCCTATTGAGACGCGCTTTGGTGAGTTATGCGCTGATAATACTTTGACTTTTTGGGTGCTGTTTGTGATGTAACTGTAAACTAGTTTAATTGCATTTTTTAGAAACCATAGGTTTGTAGTTTAGCAATTAGTAAATCATAGGGTATGCAATCATACGCTTTCGACCAACCCATCATGATTGTCCCCACTCAACTTGTTTAATCTAGACATTTCTTCATTGTTTCGTTGACTCTAAATAGTGCATGTTGTGTACTATAGTCTTGTCGAAACCCAGTGAGTAAACACACTAATATTCCTATGAAATGGTAGTTCATTTATTCCCTCATATTCCGCTCAAAGATTTTTGACATTGTGAGTAGAACACTAATGGGTCTGTTATTTACCTTTTGGTAAGGATCATTTTTTAAAATATCCTGACACATCTGCTTCCTTTAGTTTGTCTGGAAGGTCACAGTTTAAATTATTTTTGCATTTATACAATCAGTTAGAAACGGATAGATGATCTCTTTTGCTTCTTTAACAACCTTAGTCGGTATTTTGCCACTGCATGATTTTCTTACATCTTAGGCCTCTCTTAGAACCATAACCTCAGCAGGATTTAAATGACTAAATTCAAACTTCTGGATAGTATTAATTCTACCCTTAATTGCAATTATACTAGGGTGGTACCTATACTTTTTCAATGGCTCTGTCTATCTTTTCACTTAACTTATGTCAGCCCCTGTATCCCTCTTGGACTAGTCCAAGGGAATCGGTAATGTTCATAAAATGGGAGTTTAGTTAAGAGTCGCCACGGAGATTGAACTCGAGTCCCCCCAAATATTAAATCGCTGATTTGTTTAAAGATATGGAAGAATTCAATGCGTCGCTTCCAGAAGGAAGGCTATAGAGTATTTGGAAGACTTTTTGAAAGAAATTTTTCTGTGAGAAGGAACTTGAAATTTTTTTAAAGCGGCAAGGAAAAGTCAACCTGCATGATGGCTGACTCAGTGCAATGCAAAGCGGCGCAAAAATGTATCTAATGATTCCTTTGATGAAACTTCTCTCTATTGCTTCGAAAATGAATACACTTACACCGCAATCCCCTATATTCAATTCCTCCAAGCAGAAGTTTCTAAACTGCCGATACTTGATGATCTTTGGGAGACGTTTTACAAACGTTGACTTCAGTATGGTGCATATCAGATGATGATGATCACTGAAGCCTGTTTCAAATGACTGGCTTTTTATGAAAGAGTGTTTCTTATTTGTGAGCATGAAATCAATAGCTCGTCCTCAACCCTGCATATTGGAGGGCTGCCCATTTTATTGTTTCCCATTCAATACATTGCTATAAGGGAAATATAGTACAGCTTAACAATTTTTTGGGGGCTCCAGCCCCTCCGCTTCCAACAACACTGCTTTTTAATGGGACTTCTGTAGTTCAAATTTTGACGACAAAACTTTCCATTCACTTGGAATATGAAAATAATGCGGTATTCAGGGCCATGAAATGCCATACAGTCCCTCATAGCCGTCTCAGTAGACATCAGACAGTAGATTGTTTGAGCTGTCTCGTTAAAAAGTCATATAGGGCTTAAAAAGTGCTTCGCTGTCAAATTAATAAGTTGGGATTAATGATAGATTCTTTATCATTGATTGGGATGGCGGTAGTCGTGGATGCATGACAGTTTTCATTTTTAGCTGGATTTTTTTGTATTTCTTTCAACCTAACAAGCTGTATTGCTCTGATGTGCGTTTGGTTTTAGAAATGAAGTTATTTATGCAAAGACCTTTCGAACAAGGTATAAAACTGGCAAATTGGCTTATTGGTTTAGATATTCCCCGGTTCCCTGATTTCCTGATTCCCGATTCCCTAATTCCTCGATTCCCCGATTCCCTATTCCTGGTTTTAGTAATAGCCAATTTTTAAGAGGAGTAGCCACACAGGATGGGAAACCAACTTTTCGTCAGTTAGAAAAGGCGAAATCAAGAGGTGTTGTTTTTGAGGAAGAGACTTAAACCTAAATATGTATATACATGTCAATAGACGATTATGGATAATTAAAAACAACAGGCTTTGAGCACAAGTATTTCACAGCCACTGGTTTTTTTCGCTCAATTTTTAAATAATTATGATTTTTTAAAGAGGATTAGCCACATAGGATGCAAAGCCAACTGTTCCTCAAGTCTTTTGGTCTCACACTCCCAGTTCCTTGGAAAATGCACTTTTTTAAGTGATTTTCACTAAAGCAATTCTCCTCATCGCACTGAAAATTATTTTATTTCTGCATACAGATTGTGCAGCAGATAAAAAACAGGTACAATTTCGCCATGGTCTTGAAAATACAATGTTGTCTCGTTACTTTTAAAGGCAGGTAACCCCTCTTCCATCTTGGAATTTCTTTTGAATCCAAGGAACCGAAGGAGTTTATGTCACAGCACATTGATAAGTTCGATGGAACGAGTTTTCATTTATGGGTCTTTAGATAAGGAAGATAAGAAGATAATGGAAGATAAGGATCTTTAGGAGGTATAGTTTCTGGCGAAGAAGTGGAGCCTGCAGGGGAAGGAGCCACGGAAGCTTCTGTGCAGGAATTTCGAAAGCATGCGAGGAAAGCACTGGCGACCATTTGTTTATCGATAAGTGACAGTCTGTTATTTGACAGGCGAAGTATGGTCAAAATTAGAAAACCATTATGAAGTCAAATCACTGGCTAACAAGTTTTTTTTACGAAAAAGGTATTTTACTGCGACAATGTCAGAAAATGATACAATGATGGAACACATAAACAAAATGAGAAGTTTGGCAGAGCAAATGGCTTCAGTGGGAGCGCAAGTCTCTGAAGAGGATCAAGTGGTGACTCTTTTGTGCAGTTTGCCAGATTCCTATAATAACCTTATTGTTGCACTTGAATCACGGGCAGATCAACTCACTCTAGAATTCATTATTGCCAGATTGCTACATTAAGAAAGAAAACGATCTGAAGTTTCATCTGACCTTGGAATTGCGATGGAAAAGGCTTATTACCACGAAGGAGATGTCTAGAGTTGCTGAACACCAAGTGAAATCCACCAACAAGAAAGGGAAATGCTACAACTGCGGTTTAAAAGGACATTGGGAAAGAGACTGTAAGAAACTTAAGACAGCAAGCTAATGTTACAGAAATGGAAGCCACGCATGCTCTCTTTTGGGCAACAGCCAGTACAGACAAGAAAGAAGCTAATACCTGGATTATTGACTCTGGTGCATCTTGGCACATGTGATATGCACATGGTGAATTTTCGTGAATTTGCTGTTCCAGAAAAAGTGCGCTTGGGTGACAACAGAGTTGTATTGGCACAAGGTACAGTACGGTGGCCCATAAGGGCCACGGCAATGATCTGAAAACGGGAAATGATCTTTTCATATTGATAAAGATTAAGACCTTTAGATTTGTTGCTAGATTGACGAAGTATAGATATGATGTAGATGAGAAAGAAATTATCAAATATTTTTTCAATCAGGGCTTTAAATATGGAGAAATCATTGAGATGCTTTCCGAGTGTCATGGAATAGAAATAAGTTTCAAGACATTAAAGAGACGACTCAGAAACTTAGCCGCTTTATCTTCAACTTCGCACCCACAGTTTGAGCAGAGCAGAACATGTTGTACATGTAAGATCACTTTCCGAACTGATCAGTGATGGTTCGCCGTTTGAGCATTACCTTGCGCATACGTCGACTTTTTATACTTCCGCCGTGAGTTGACTTTCTTTTGCCGCGAATTAAATTTCTTATGCCGTAAATTTACTTTGTTTTGCCATGATTTGACTTTATTTTGCAGTGGTTGACTTTGTTTTGCCGTGGATAAGTTTGTTTTATAGTGAGATGATTCTCTTGCCGTGGCCCTTATGGGCCACCGTAGTACAGGGTCGGCTTGGATTAAGGTCAAAGTCGAAGGGAAATAGAGGCCTGTTGAATTGACCGAAGTTCCAGATTTTATCAGTGGTCTTCGAGGAGGACAAATGTCTCACCCTAAATAGCGATGGAGAAACCTTGGGTTTAGGAAGAAAAGACAGAAAGTTGTTTATTCTCAGAGGTTTGGCCATTTAGGAGTCAAGAATTTGAAAACATTACAAGATGAAGAACTAGTTGAGAGAACTAAAGTTTAATGATTCAAAAGATATGCAATTTTGCACGAAACTAATTTCCAAAAGGTCAAGCTACACATGCCACTGAGCTACTAGAGATTGCGCACAGTGATGTATGTGGGCCAATGCAAACAACCAGTCTGGGTGGACATCGATATTTTGTTACTTTCATCGATGATAAATCAAGATTTACTGCAATATACTTCGTAAAAAACAAAGATAATAAGCCCGAAATGTGTAGCATGTCCGCCCATGCACTCGTGTACTAATGAATTTGCTTCAAGCATTTTACAAAAGAAAAGAAAACAAGCTTATTGGCAATTTATGTGTTAAATCCTTCTTTTAGAAAGCTGTTATACTAGCTGTTATGCTGATGATGTTTCGTTATAAAGTAAACAACCAACATTCTGAAAATACTGACAAACAACATGCTAATGAAAAGAAAGTCATGGTTGAAATTTAGTTATTTAGCTTTTGCAATTTCATAATGAAAAGATTACCTTGGTAAATCTCAATATCAAATTCCTAAAAAGGTATTAAAAACATATTGTAACTCACATGTAAGGAACATAAATACAATCGCCTTCCTCGACAGTAGCATTCCACCATTGCAACTTCCTGAGGAAAGGATACTTGAGCATATCTACTTTATCAACATCAACACTGCAATAATCACCCTCTTCGTGGTCCATAATAATATTTGGACTGTAGGCCTATTTGTAACAAAATATGAAGAATCAACTTTAACTGCGTCAATGTTTAGCATACAGCCTAATTACTGGCTGTTTCTCAAGTAAGGGCAATATAATAAAAGTGACATTTAATTAAATAAAATTTTATAACATGGACTAGTGTCTACTTAATTGCCTCAGCTCTTAAAAAAGCTCCTCCTTAAGCCATTCTCTGTCTAACGTTTTGTTGTTTGGGTACTAAGATTATTCAAAATTCCCACTGCAATCATAAAAAAAACTACAAACCTTATCAACCAGGAACCACCTTTTCGACCCACTTATCATACAGTTTATGTTTTCAACAGTATCCACATGCAGATGTGATTTTGAGCCTCCACTGCTGAACCACAGCACAAGGTCCTGCATGAAATATCAAAAATAAAGATCAAGATATCTTGAAAACAGAGTCTTTTATCCTTAGATTGTTTTTCAAAAAAGGCCATAATTTATTATTATAGTAAAACCCCTTGTATTTTAACATAAAGGTCAGACGCATGAGACCACTTTTGGAAAATCCATTGCTGTAACAATAAGGATACCTTCCAAAAATCCTATAATATTAATTAATATTATGATCATAACTCAAAACTCATAGCCCTTTTTACAATTGTACAGTTTTATTTCACTAGGAATGAATATGCTACACTTTCACGCTGTTTCCCACTTTAATTCATAGCGTCCAAAAAAATTTCACAAAAAACTTTAACTCAAAAATAGAAAACATAACCCTCAACCTAAAGAGCAAGCAAAAGCATTATGAAGTAAAATTACAATACGCTTTTTTAACTTCATTAAAAGGCCTGAACAATTACAACAAAGATAGAATTTATGTCTTTATAATATTAGAAATACAATTTTTGTGATAAGATGTTAGCCTACCTGAAGACGATTTAAAAAACCATCACTAGAAATTACTTTTGGGATTTCTAGATCTTTCTGCATTTCTTCAGGAATTGTATCAATCATATAAAGATCCTCTCTCTTGTAAATATCCAAGAAGTTTTTCAATTTCATTTTCCTAGCAGATTTGTATCTGGTTTCTTTCTTGGATGTGTCCACACTTAACATTAGTTCCCCATAGCTTTTCCTACAAAAGAGCCAAATAAACTTCAGTATATGAAATAAAAAACTTGAACATATGACCAGTAACAAATAATTGAGCTAAAACATATTTTTTCATAGTTAATACAAACACAATACATGGTCCATGCCACTGATTCTAAACTGGAGGGGCCAGCACTAAAGAAAGTTTTATCTTGCCCCTTCTAGCCCCAATTGTAGTAAACATTTTGCTTATGCTGTTTTACTTGTGTACTTTGGTTCAATTAAGTCCAAAGGTATATCTATATAAATCATTTAAGCTGTGTTATATTCTTTTTTAGAAAAGGTGCTCTTAATTGGCAAGGCCAAGGACCCTCTGCCCCTTACTTGTTGGGGAGATGAGCAAGCAAAAATCTTCAAATGAGTGAGGGAACCCTCTTTCTTTGAGTCAGAGCATGTGTAATAAAAAACTTTGCTTCATGCACATGCTTTTTGACTCCATGATGGAGGGTTGCCTCACTCATTGAAAAACATCATTTTGTTTGTCTCCCAACAACTAACCTCTGTAGCAGGAACAGGCCCTGCAATAGAAACCCCATTTGAATGAAGCCCTTATCTCCCAGTCAAATGGTCAAATGTAAATCCAATCTTGTTTAATGTAGAGACCTATTGACTTTGTCCTAGAGGGTGAACTAAATGTTTTTTTTAAAAAAAGCGTAGATCATACTGATTGTCCAAAATCTAGCGTTTTATTGCAAACAATCTGGACTAATTATTCCTACTAATCAGTGACACCCCCCCCCCCACCCTACCTGAGGAAGTTGTCATTCCACTGCCTGGTCGCCTTGAATCCCTTGCATGCCCCTTTAAACAAAACAGCCTGTGACTTGTTTACAAATTCTTGGAAAAACGTCAACGGTTCTAAGAAGCCGTTAATCTCTTGCACGTTTCCTTCTGCAACCTGGTGTGATCCAAGGGGTTGTAAGTGACCTTGGATATCGGTTTCCTTGCTGACATTATAACTTGCAAATACAAAAACAGAGCAAAAACAAATTTTTTCATCGGTGCTGTGCTTTACCAACCCTTCTTTGAATTGAAGACGAAACAACACAAACAACTAATTATGCAATGGCCTCGTTTGGAAAAAAACATTGTTGATGGTTGATGGATTTTATGAAAACATAAGAACCAACAAATTTTGTTAGGGATTTGATCATGAATAGCCCTTAGGGAAAAAAGTTTAACCCGGGATATTTTTGACGATCCAGTTTAGGTTGGGTAAGGGTCGCTAACAAAGAACCCAACAGTCCTGACATGACCAAACTTTCCCCCAGAGTGAGGAGATTCGCCAGCTCTCTGTAATTCCAGGCGTAGGAATCTCAAGGTGTGGTCACATCGAGAGGAAGGACCAGGACACTGCTTGATAAGCAAACGCTTATCAGTGTCCTAAAAACTACCTTCGGAAGCTAGGTAGCAAACAATACAATACATTACAATACAATACAATACGATACAATTAAATACAATACAAAATTTTTGTGGTACTCTATGAAATTTATTGCCAAATGAAATTTATGTCGAATGAAAGCATACTCCGAGGTCGAGTAATAAAAATGCTGTTTAATATAGCATTCTCTAGCTGCTGTCACAAGAGGCAGTAAATAATAACATTTTCCAGGCTCGTTATTTGTACATTCTTCAATACTGGTATCTTCATACTTGATCACATTTCAAAACTTTTTTCGCCTATTACAATGCCAAATCAGATGGTTAGAGCCATTTTCCAAATTGAGAAACAAAAATTAGATGACGGGAGAATGTGATGCCATCAATAACGTGACTTTTATTGTTTGCAGGGCTCGTAAATTAGCTTTCTTGAGACAATCCGATAAAAATATTAGGAAAAATTGCAAGATTTGAATTTTATTGACCGTTTGACTTCTATTAATCCGAGTATTTTGAGCAAAATAATCTGAGCAAAAATTTGAGCCTGTATTGTGCTAATATGTTTCATTTCCGAATATATTTTAATGACAAAAGCAGATAATAGCAAGAATTTGAACATCCTTTCACGATTATTTTCAGATTTACACGCTATGTTGCTTAAGAATGATTTAAGAATTAAAGAAGGCTCATGTTATGCACAAGCTATTATGGATGTATTTTGCTTTGAAGTAATGGCTCGTTTTGATTTGGTCGAAAAAGAGATTGTTCAGCCTTCTGCTAATAATCTCTTTAGAATTTCGTCTTCTTTAAAAACTAGATACTGAAATGTTTGTAAAGGATTTTGAAGGTTTTAATGGATGAATAACGGAGAATGGACTTAGGCCCCGTCTACACGAGTACGTTTTCAAAAAACTGCGTTTTGATTTTGATGAAAACGGATAAAAGGTTTTCCGCCTACACCCACGTTTTCACATTGTCCATTCCGTCTACATGAAAACGCAAAAATCTGCGCAGGCGCATGTTTTTGCTGAGTATTTTGTTGAATCGTTTTCAGAACTTGCGTTTTCGGCCGTCTATACGGAAGCGATGCGTTTTCAAAAGTTGCGTTGTCAAATAATTTCATTATGGAAAGCATTTTCAAAAAGTTTCATTTTCACTCATAGATTTACTGTTTTCATCTAGACAGTAAGCTAAAACGCAAAAATAAAGTTACGTTTTCATTTGTAAACGTACTCGTGTAAATGGGGCCTTAGTTTGAAGCTTTTGATTACTGTTTGTTATTTTCAGATGTTTGTTTACAACTTTGAATATCTGTTTCTTCGCGTAGATGAACATAAGAGAAACTGTGAAGGTAATAGCCAGCCGTGGAATTGAAATGGCCAAATACAGAAAGCTACATATGACTAGATTAGCAAACCAAAGTACAAACGACAAAGCAAAATTCAAACACTTTAACAAAATAGGGCGTCTTCCCAAGGTCCTAAGAGTGAGTGTGATCTGCAAAAGATTCCACTGTGGTTAACACACTGACTGCCCCCCCCCCCTCCATTTTCATCGGCTATGTCACTTATGTGGTTTTGTCCTTGTGTAATTATATTATTTGATTCAATAAGATATTAACCTCTTTTTGAGTCGCTATTTTCCTCATTTGCTACCGCTTTTTATGATTATATAAGCTTTGGGTACATCAAATGGCAAGGCACGAAGGGCGGGAATATGTTTTCGCTATTCGTGCCATCTTCAAACCATTTATGATTACTTTTCATCTGCTTTGCTCTTCTGAGTAGATCTTATTCTGTTTTGATGTCCCTCCATTCTTCCCATACTTATCTTTTCACAATTGATAACCTCTCTTTTTGGTATCCTTTTCTTAAACACTTCCTTGCCATACTTCTTAAGTTTATTTATTCTCTCTAATTGCTCTTTGCACTGTTTCAGTCTCCATGAAGCTGTCTCTGAGTAACTTCCCTATCTGATTCTTCCTGTCCTGTTTTGAAGGGATGGAACAGTAAGAGGATTTTTAAAGATCTCTTTAATTAGTCCTATCATTCTAACAAAAGCTCAGTCGCTCAAGAACGCTACATGGTCATGAATCGTTTTCAGCAAAATAGTTATTAATATAAAAAAAATTGAATTGCGTTCATGCTATACCTACGTGTTTAGATCCCAAAGTCTAAGTGTGTTATCCCAGGAGTCAGCAGGAATCTGACACAAAGTGATTTTGTCCTTTCAAGCATCGTTTGGGAAGCCATAACTCATTTTACCTCAATTCCTATTAGAATAAAAATATATATCTTGTTTATGCATCAAAACAAATAAACTCATAAAAGGCGACTGATTTGTCACTTTTCAGAAGGGTGAAAACATCTATCCACAGTGAAGTGAGTTGATTGGTTTTCATCTTTAAAATGACATTTATTTATACTCTTTGCTTGTACCAGAACACACAGGAGGATAACACACAAGAACTAAGAAAGTATCACTAAAATTAACTGTTTTCTCAAACATTCTTCTCTGCATCATGGAGGCTGGAGGCTTGTCATCCTTCTCTGATATTCTCCAATCTCCTTTTTAACATTCTTTTCAAAGTCTCTTTAGTTCCTTTCCCTCTCTAGTTTCTATTTTATAATCTTCTATTGTACTTTCTTCCTTATCTCTGAAAATAGGGGGCTTTAGGGAGGTTTGAGACCAAATTAAGATATCTAAACAACCAAATTGTTACGGTTTTACAGTCAGAAAATACCATTTTATCGGTTGTGAATGCCTATGATTAACTATTTGTTCAGTGCAGGCAGCCTCGAAATCATAAAAACGCCTTACAAAAAATGATTTTAAAGAGAGACTTTCAAGAGAGCACACCTGCGCTTATAACGTAAAGACACAGATGTTACAAGTCTTTTTGACCTGATGACAACTGCAGGAGAGATCAAGTTTGATTTTCTCTTGCAGTCAGTGAAACTTATATGCGTCGACAAACTTAAAGAAGATTGGACAGTAATTGTACTTACACTGGGACAGTCAATTTTTTTATGGAATATTTGTAAGTATTCATATTTTCCCATTTAGGAAAATGCAAAATTTTTCGCAAAATGATCATGAACGATGCACCATAAATATTTTTACGAATGTTCTGCAGTAGTATTTATCCATTCTAGTTGGAGATTTGGTTATGATTGGTATTTAGTTTATTTTAAGCAATTCTAGATATTTAGAAGAGGAAAGAAATCTAAGCTACATTAAAAGGTTGTCCATTTTTGACAAACTTTTCTAAACTGATGGACGTGAAACCGACAGCTTCAAATATTTATGTAAAAATAAGAGTTAATGATCAATGTAAAATACTCGAAGAAATGAAGATGATACAATGCAACAACCTTAGACACTTATAACCACGCATTAATATATTGGGTGACATTTAAGTTGAACCTCGCCCCATTCCATGGTTTTATCTTCCTCTTGGAAACGTGTATATTTTGAGCAAATTTCATTAAAAAGAATTTTCAAATCTGACATCCCAGGCTTCCAAAGCTTTTAGAGAGAAAGTTCGTTTAAGCATATGATGTGGATTTTTTTGAGAGTAATTCTGACAAGTTGATTATTTAAAAGAAATGTCTCGTATAATAATCGGAACGAGCTGCTTTGTTGGTTTGTAGAAATCGAGGCAGAGAACTCTAACAGGAGAAACGTGAATATAGTTTTTCCTGACTCTTAAATTGCTTTACGTGTTTGTTTTTTTAGCTAAACAGCTGCCTGAATTCTCTCTTTTTATTCGTTTATAAAGAGCTAATTTGTGTAGCAACTATCCCATGCAACTTTCTTTAAAATCGCAGTCTGAATTACGCAAATTGTGGCGTTCATGAATGTTCTAAGATGAGGCCACATGAAACACGATAGAGATAGGGTTTTTGTCTTAATAAATAACGATACCAAATTGTGAGCTCATTTTTTCGTTGATCATTTCTGAGAGATGGGGACTTGTGGCGGAATCTAATACATAAAGATCTTGCTACATCGCTAAGATACCTCTTCAGATGATAAGACATGAGATATGCTCAATATATTTTGTTAATGAAGATAAAACATAAAATGGCTACCAATTGTATTCATCTGTTTATTCAACGGTTAATTTTCTAACTCGGGAATGAAACACCAATACAAAGTAAAAGGCATCAAAGCCCTCTCGGAAAAACATGCCATAGATATCGAAAGGTCAGTACATAAGGCTACGTTCCCGCATCAACGATAGCAAGTTGGGCCGTTGGTAACTACGTCGTAGTTGAGATACATTCTACAATCATCCTTCCTCTGTATGCTAAAGAAAAAACAAAAGCTTTTTCAGTTGCTGGTTTTCAAAGACAAATTTATTTTCCTTACGAGTCAAGAAAGACAATTAAGTACATCAGTCCTAGCAAATTATAATGTATTGATTATCAAATTATAATTTTGGTTTATCATCCTGGATTCATTTGTATTGGATTGCTTCTCGTCGTTTGTGCTGTTCCTATCTATCATTCATACCTGTAGCTCAAGCTCTTGATCTGCTCAATAATATTCCACGTTCATCTTAACTGTTTGAGCGTAGTAATACTTTTTGTGAACAACTAATAGCATCAATGTAGGTTGACAAAAAAGGTAAAAAGTCCCCTTCTATAGTTTGAGCACCACGACAGTCC